AAACGAACCAACGAATAGTGTATGACTAACAGTTTTAACGACAAACTTCAAGCGACAGAAAACTCAGTTCGACTGAAATCCAGAAGCGATGTCAATATCACTATATTCTCGCGAGTTTAATATCGTCTTCGTTAGCAGATGAAATATGGTGAAAATAAGGCCAGCACGACTACGCTCAGAAAGTTGCGAAAAAGAAGAGTTACCAGTGAGATGGGCGTCTGAGTTCGTATAATAGGCAGTGATAGCGTCACTGTTGATGCTGTCGTTGGTTATGCGATAGGCAGTATAATTATGAGTTTCAACATAATTGGCAGTGTTATCAACTGTTAAGTATGAAGCAGCTGTAGCAGCAGTAGTGGTAGTAGCGGCAAAAGAAGACGAAGGACTAGAAAAATCGCATTTGTGGAATGAATGAGATCGGGATTTGTACACGATATGGGCCTTGGACGACGACGGCTTGCTTTGCTTCTGATCGTCCTTCACCGGCTCAACGAGATAAGTTCCGTCCGGCAGTGCCAGCGTACCGAACTGCAAACCACTTTATCTGGTGAGCTGCCCAATGCACCTCATTGCATGCATTTTTTTGCAAAAATTCGACAACTCCACATTTCAGCGACAAAAATGCAGTTAAAAATAAAATCATTAAACCCCTCTCCCCCGTACGTAGCTCACTTCGCTACACAGAAACATGCAGGAATCAAAGACTGGTCTTGATAAAATCAGACGCTTAACTGATTGAATGCGTCACCTTTACAAAGATAAGACCAAAAAGGAAAAGTGATTGGGGCTGCAGAAGTAACGCTCTCAGACATTATCAAAAAATTAAATTAAAAAAAAGCCAGTTCACAACTATGAACTGACGTTCAGATAACTGCTGATATTTAGGAAACTTTCGGAGAATGTACTACTTCTTCCCTATTCTGCCCAATCTCACTTTCAAATCTAAAGTCATGGATGCCCTCAGCAATTATGAGGTCTCGAACATTTTCGACAAGAAAAAAACAACTGATATTACCAGTCCGCCGCTGATGTCACACAAGTTGACGATCGACGACTCAGTAGCACCTTCAACATGAGCGCTGTACAGGCAGTCTGGTATAAATCTGGACATACGTGCATGTGTCGCATCCAGCGAATCCAGAAATTGCACAATCGGTCGTATCCGATTGTTCTCCAAAATCGGCAGTGATCTTAAATGACGATTTAAACTGGACAAAACTAGAAGCAAAATA